TTCTAAAGTGGCTACTACAAAGCTTAAATTACAAATAAGGCTTCCATTTGTGATTCACATTTTATTTTTATTGGGCCACTTGGTTTACTGAAAGGTAGTTAGGAAAAGTATAATTTGCGCCTGTGGAAGAGAGAGAAAAAATGAAAGTAGGTCTGGTTAGGTGTGGGCATTGAGAAGAAAAGAGGATTCAGGAGGAGCAGAAACTATGCCTTTATTCTTGCATGTGTTCAACTGAGCTGTCAGAAAGATATTTAGATAGAGGTGAACAGGTAAGGGATGTCATAGGTTGGAATTTATGGGTAGGTGTGGGATTGGAGGTGCTGATTTCAAATCATTAATTCTGACATCTAAAACCATTAATAAAAATTTTAGAATAGGAATGCAAAGTAAAATGACAAGGCTAGCAATACATATTAAGTTTAGGCAAATGATTAAGTAAATTGGACTGCTTTACACATTTTCAACACAACTCAGTGAACTTCTGTTGAACACCTATTCTGTGACAGGATTTGGTAATATATGACTTTAAAAATGAAAAACAGGGGCTGGGGATTTAGCTCAGAGGCACAGCGCCTGCCTGGCAAGTGCAATGTCGTGAGTTCGATTCCTGGTACTGGAAAAAAACAAAAAACACAAAACAAAACGAAAAACAGTAAAATTTTTGGAGTGTGAGTCAATTAATTATGTAAAAATTTAACTTAGGCCTGAAAGAACATATATTTGTCAAGGGAAAATGTAGAAGATATCCATGTTTGATATTAGCATATATGGAATATATATTTAAATACAATAAAATGTTTTCATTGATAGAAAGATTTTATTATAAGAAGTAAAATTAAATATAAAATTGTGTAGAGATTTGAATAAATTTTCTTATAGTTTTTAAGTATCGAGATTCTTTATCATCTATATCTCCATTAGGTACATAAACTTTCATTAAATTTTACCTCCATATTTTCACATATGCCTCTGTTAAATTTTTCATTTGCTTGAGAAAGTTGAAGATATAGAAAATCTAATATTCTTGATAGAATATCCGTTGAGTTGAAAGGAATTGATGAGATAGATATGAACAGTAGGTGGAAAGAGAATGGTCTAGTGAATATGTAACAAAGAAGTAGATAGAGAAACAGGATAGAGACCATATCTGAAGGACTGGGATGGAGGCGCCTTTGTGGAAATTTTGTCATCAGTAAAAGAGTAGACCAGGGCATGTTTCAAATTTACTTTTGGAATATATATATATATATATATACACACACACATATATATATATGGTTCATTAAAAGAAGTGGAAGAACATTTCTGTTTAACGAAAGATAGGGATGTTTGCTCCTTACATGTTGTTTTTATGTTTCAGCACAATGACATTTAGTATTGTACTATGTCATTTAAATACATCCTCATTTAAAACCTACAAAAGCCCAGGAATAATTATTATTTCTATTTTATAGAAAAAGATACTGTAGTTTAGGAAAGTTCCACAAATTTTCCAAGGCCACACAGCTAATGAGCGGGAGAACTGGGATAAGAACTCAGGTTTTGAAAACCCACATTCAAATCTGGGGTACTCTTTTATATTTACAACTCTGTGAGTATGTACCCAGTGAACAAAGGCCAAGGAAAGGAAAAGTAAGCAACCATTAATTAAATACTTGGATTTCAAAAAAGAAACATCACTCTAGTGGCCATACCAGCACTGTATCAGTTATTTTAACAATTTAAATTTTAGTCAATGCAGAGTTTTCTCTCCGCTTTCCCCAACTATTTCACTGCCTGATACTGAAAATATAATTTCGGTGGTCAAAAACTAGTTGAAAAATTTCAGGCATAAAACATATGCACACATACATATTTAAAATATGTATATATTCATGGCTAAGCTGTGTTCTTACATTTGAGAAAAGTATCCTGTTCACAAGGCTTTGAAATCATTAGCCAGGATTAATTTTGAGGTACTTCCATCAAGCAAATGATTAATGTTATACAGCCACCAGAAATAGATCTTTTAAGATATTATTCTAATTGAGACAGAGAAAAAGCTACATGAAGTAAATGTAAGGTGGTTTAATGAAAATTCAAATAAAATCTTTTATTAGACTAAATGCTATAGCTTTTGGGAAAAATACAGTGATAGAGCAAAAATTTTTCTCCCTAGCACTTTTCCTTTTTGCATATTTAATTCTCTTTGGACTGATGTGAAATGCAACCAAACTTTAATTTTGGATGACATTTCATATATAAATTTTAGAAACATATTAGATGAGCATATATGATACTTTGATGAAAACTTACAATCAAATACTTTTCTAGCCTTTTATCAAAGTGGAGTAATCAATAATGCTATTAGAGTTGGGATATTGGGGTAAAGAAAATAAGGACTGAAGACAAAAGAATTATCATCTTAACGGATTTGGGAAGTATTTCAAAAAATTTTAAAGTTATGCCTTTTAAGACCATAGGAGAGAATTAAATTGAAAAATTTAAATAAATATGTATATTAATCTCAGTGAACTATTTTGAAATGGGTAAAATTAGGAACCATTTTTCTTCCTTTTCTCTTCCTCCTTCCCATCTTTTCTTACTCCTTCCCGTTTTACTTTGTTAGTCCTGGGGACGGAATTCAGTGGCTCTCTTGTCATTCAGCTATGTCCCCATTCCTTTTATTTCTTTGCTTTTTTTAAAGGCAAGGTCTTGCTAAATTGCCCAGGCTGTCCTCAGCCTTGAAATGCTCTGGCCTCAGTTTCCAGAGTAGCTGTGTTACAGGTGAGCACCACAAAAGCCAGCTTTCTGTTGTTCTTTTTGTCAGGCTTTTTCCACACAAGGTTTTGTTTTGTTGCCTGGGTTGGCCCATCCTTAACTCTTGGGCTCAAGCAATCCTGCCTAGGTCTCCTGAGACACTGGAACTACATGTGCATGCTGTTGCAGCTGGTACAAGAAATTTTTAAAATTGAGATTTTCCTGATTTATTGTACTGCAGAGTCTTATAGTCCAAGGTCTCTCCAAGTTGTTTTTTTATGATGAATTTAAATTATGTAGGTAAAATATTTTTGTCTTCATTACCAAACTCAAAAAAGAAAAATATATATGTTGAATGAAATAACCAGGGGAGAGGAGAGAAGTGATGTTTAGGGAAAGTGTACTGTCAGACGTGATCAGTGACACTCTACAGAGAGGAAATGAGAAAATGCAGAAAATGACTTACATTATTAAGAATATGATGATGAGTTGCAGAATCATGACATATTAGGAGATATAACAGTATCTCCTCTGTATTCTATATATATTTATTTTCTCTCACTTGGGAAAAAATGTTAATCTTCATTTAAAGAAACAAGAAGAATATAAACTAGAGGAAACCAGTAAACAAGTCAGCTGAAGGTTAGAGCCTTAAATGCAAAAACCTGTCATCTTTATGTGGTTCCCGGGGTGCCCAGCTCACACGCTAACATAAGTGACACCACTGACATGAGCCCCAAGTTAACAGAAGAATCAAGTGTAACTGTGAGTTATACTGATTCTGAAGAAAAATATTACATATCCTGAAAGAAACAACAGCTTCTAGGTTTCCTGAGAAAGCAATTTCAGAAAAATAACCAAAAACGATAATGAAGTGTAAATTCAATGACGGGTTTTCAAATTAAAAGTGTAAAATCCTTGATTCTTTTTTAAAATACCCAAATTTGATTTGCTTGCTGAAAAAACAGAAAAAAAATAAATGAAACCAAAAGTCTTAAGCTTGATACTGAATTATTGCAAGCATAATTTCTCAAATTATAGGAAAAAGCATTTTATTTGCAGCCTATAGAAAAGTTACTCTGGAGGACAGATGGATTGATAGCTAATGTTACCAATGCAGTTTGATTTACTGTTCCATTGAAATATTACCTTCGTGTATCACTGAAAAGATTAACAAAACCTTAATATATCATCACTGACAAATGAGACAAAGATCCAACTAACATGATAACAACCTCCAAATAGGATAAGAACTCTAAGACAAAAGAGCATCAGTTCTCTAGAAATTAATATTTGGGTGACATGAATGAAAAATTGGTTCAAGTTAGAGAATAAGTGATATCTAAGAGGTAAATTTCAGATTGTATTTCTTTCCCAACATATACGTTAAAAACATAATCTTCTACATTAGTAGATGTACTAGTAAACATGAAAAAAATCCATGCTTTGAACAGATTGACATGTATTACACTAAAGGCGCAATGCCTCGGTATACCAGCAAATACATCTTGGTGTCTTCATCTCATATCATATCGATAAAGTTTTTCATTTCTAGGTTTAATAGTGAGAAAGTCTACAAATATTACATCATGGTTGAGGAGGAATGTCTGGATTAATAGTATAGTAAGATTCTGTAATCATTTAAAGACCATCTTATACATGACAGTGATACTATGCTGATTTGACCTCTCCATTCCCCCAGAATTCTCTAACAGATTTTATTGGAATCATAATGCCACATTCACTGAGAATTGCACTCCCTGTCAGAAGAAACAGTAATGTTAATGAATCAATAATATTTCCTCTTCTACAAGAGGAAGACAGATGAAAACCATGTAGGCTACAACTTCACAACTTCTTAGCAAATCAAAAAAAAGTTGGTTAAGGGGCAGAGCAACAAAGGAAAATATATGTGGGCTAAACAAAATAAACAACAATTATTGAAAACAAAGAGTATGAGAGTATATGATTTCTTTTCATAAAAAAGCAAAATTATTTTTAATCCAGGGTGAAAAATTTAGCCCTTAATTCAGATATTAAGTTACTGCTAGCTTCATTTGCATACACTTCAGTCCTTATCTTTTCCTCAAAATTTTAATTGGCCATTTGCATATCATCACCATTATTAGTCATACACTGATTTTCTGAAACTTTCTGGTTAACAGAGGAGTTGAGCTGTATGATAATCCCCACACTAGAAACTGGGCAATGCTACCAAACCCCACATTTTTTTATCTGAAAAGCTTACATAGGGATTGATGCTAATAATTGCCAATGCGTGCATATATAACAGCTTTCATTTTATGAAAAAGACTGAAGGAACTTTATTCAGACAGTCTCTGTTGACGATCATAAGTGCATTAAGGGATAAAGTTGTGGGGCTTGTGCGTTTCTACTCAAAGGTACAGTAAGTATGTTGAGAAGCACGGCCTGGTCTCAGCGCTATCTCACTTTCTGCAGCTCCTGTCTCAGCCAGGATGGCAGAGGCTGTCCCAGTCTGTGCAGCAGTTTGGACAGTTCCACGTTATGGTCTCGGTAGTAATTAGAGAGGAAACTTCTGGACTGTAAAACAACAGGACAAAGAAAGCTTGAAAGAAGTTAGCAGTTTATTAAACACAACCACATAATCTACAACTCCCATGAAAATTTATTACCACATAAGTGTCTACAAAATATTGCTTATTTTTTAACTATTGCTTAACTTTTACCTTTTGAAAATTTTGGCACAAGCATAGCTGATAAATAAAAATAGATTCAGGTTTGTCCTAACTGGCTTATCTACCATTGCAGCACATGTTTATTGCAGGATTCCTGTCAGCTACATAGAGAAAAAGCTAACGACAGGACTGTAATACTAGAGGGATTCTATGAGAATACAATTCTATAGGCATGAACAAGGTAAAAATGCACACATTTCCTTTTTTTTTTTTTTTTTTTTTTTTTTTTTTGGTTTTTCTCCGGTACCAGGAACCGAACTCACGACCTTGCGCTTGCCAGGCAGGCGCTTTTTGCCGCTGAGCTAAATCCCCAGCCCCACATTTCCTTTAAAGTGGGCCGATTGAATAAAAATTTAAAATGATCATGAATAATCATAAAATGGAAGTTGATGGTCACCAAAATATAATGTCACATTGCATAAATATTTTCTCTACTCATTTAGGACAAAATTATGCTTTTTAAATCATTAGCTGTTTTTTTGTTTGCTTGTTTTTGGTTTTTTTTGTAATTTCTATCCTCCTGGCCAACCTGCAGAGATTGACTGTTATGAGGCGAATGTTTTCGAAATTAATAGAATGTATAAATGGTTTTAGTTTCATGTCCACAATTTATTTATACAGATTTCTGGAGGGCAGGAAGTACATAATTGGCTTTTCTTTCTTGATGTCACTTGTTCATATTATATCTCAGAATGTAGTTCTGTCCCTGGTCAAACAGTGGAGATGAATCCTTTCCCCCTCTAAGTGCAGGTAGCGGTGGCTCGGAATGTTTTATCTGTCACATCCATGTTCCGTCATCTTTCCTAAACCCTCTCCAATACTTTCACACAAGTGGGTCTCTTTCTCCATAAAATTCCCCGAGCAGCATCTGTACACACTACAAAAATTGGTTTAAGATAACCAGATTTTATCTCGGACCACGTGCCAGGCTTCTCATTATGTTTCTTTTCTTAAACCAGATTGTCAACACTTCAAATTTACAATGAAATGCTTACAGGAGTAGGGGGAACAGCAAATGTTTTGTTTTCATTTTTGTAGATTAAAGTGATTTCTGAAACCCTTCTGAAATTATTGAGTTCAAAGTTGAACTTCAAGGACCTTCTGGTACTTCTGTCTCCATAGTAACTCGTGAGCCACTTGCGTCTTCTCTTTGCCCACCTGGTTGGAGGACAGGTGCTCAGAATATCTGGCAGAGTTGGCTGCTGCTGAGTTCCCAACGGCAGTGTAACAGTAAGACATTCTCCTCACGTATCGACACTTCTACTAAGACGCTTTTCTTTTTCCTTTGTGTAGTTGAGTTTTATGTATCCTATCATAAATCATTGACCGTAACGAATTTTATCCATTATATAATGCCCGGTTTCATAACTTCCTTGTATTCTCTCCATTATTTCAGTGTGTCAAGTGTGTGTAAGCATTGGATGTATGTGTTGAACGTATAATAATTGTGTTTGCACATTTCATCCCAAATCACCTTTTCTGATAAACAATTTAAGCAATTTGCTTATTTGGAAAGGAGTGACTTTGGGTAAATATTTGATTTACATTCCAAGAGGGAAATATTTCTAGGCATATATAGCAGTCCTTTCTCTATTTCTATCATCTTTTAGATGCATAAACTATTTTTTTATACTGGGACTTGAACTCAGGACCTTGCTTAACCAGGCAGGCACTGTGCCACCGAGCTTCATCCCTAGCCCAGACACATACACTATTGATTGCAAAGAGAGCAGGAAAAGGAAGAAAATTTCCATTACAAGTTTTAAAACAGATGTGTGCACAGATTTTTGTAGTAGTGATTCAGATTAGGAACATAATACCTCAGGATCCATGGGTGGATATTTTCGGCCTTTACTTCTTCCAAGACATTTTGTTTTTCCTCCTTCCAGTAGTTGACACCAAAAGCCCTTTTGGGGATCAAACCTACAATAGATAAAATGTAAGCAAATCATAAATTGCATATAGAATTTTTAGCGACAGGTTTAAATGGATAAAGAAAATGCACTTTTGTATGTTCGTTGCTTTGCTTTAATTTATTTCTATAGGTGTTCAACTGAAAGATTTAGAAAGGCTAATTGAGATTAAAGAAACTATATGTTATTGTATATTTTTAAGTTGTTCTACTCTAATGAAACAAGATTGATTAGGTCTTCAGTCCAACTTTTAGGTTGAAATTATTTCGGTTTTATATTTCATGTAGGAATCCATAAAAACTTCAAGGAACAAGCATCCAATAAATAAAGAACTTTTAGAACATTTTATTTTCTCATGGGTATGATTTCCTGATACCTTTCTTTGAAATTATTCAATAGCATACATTAAAGAGGTCAAATGTAATGTAGGTGCACGCCTCTGAAATAAGTATAATTAAACCTTCCAATTTGGAAAAGTACTGTATTCTTTTTTAGAATTCAGAACATTGCCAAGAATGGGCCACATGATTGTAATCATAGCAGTCAGGAAACAGGCGTGAAGATCACTGTGAGTCTGAGGCCATTCTGGGCTACATAGGAAGTTCAAGTCCAGCCTGAACTACACAGCAAGATTCTGTCTCAAAAAGCAAAACAAATTACCAGATATAAGCATGCAAAATTGGTCAAAATATATTTAAAAATTTCAGCATTAACTTTTCCTCTTTAAAAAGAAAACAAAACAAAAATATGTTTACACTTTTCAAAAAGAAGTTAGAAATGTAAAGGAATTATTTATTATATTGATTGTTGACAACAGGAGACGTAGGCAACACAAATGGTGAGTGGCGGATTAGAGAACTCTTCCTTTCTTTTGCTGAAGCTAGATAATCCTGTCGGATGATTTGGGTCCCTGTGCTCTTAAAGAAAATTCTAATGTTGTTTTGCTCCCTTGGCTGCACTTAGTTATGAAAGAAAGGATGTGTGGCCTAGTTATTTTGTTAAAGTCAAAAATTTATGAACTTTTGTTTGGGACTAACAAGAGAAGAAAAATGAAAGAATGAACCAGTAAGAAGGGAAATTTTAAATTTATTGCTGTGAGATTTGCTGTATGCATAAAACATTGAAAGGTTTGCATTTTTGTTGCTCAGCAGATGTTTTAGAAGGATGAAGCATAATTGACTGGGATGTAAAGCTAATTAGTTGCAGAATATTTTGTTGCCCTGGGCCCGTTCCTGTAATACCGGTGCACCTGCAATTTGCCTCTGCACATATGTGGACTCATTTAGGGTGAGAGGGAAATTTTCTTCACAGTTCCCTGCCCAGCCTATTATTAGAGACCTGATCCTGGCAGTCTAAGTTGTCCTAGTACATGTTATCAATTAAAATTAAATACATCACTAGTTAAATGGATAAGCAGAAGACAGAGTCATTTCCAACTGAACTTTTCAATCTGCTCCTTGCCTATCACAGTCCTTTCCTTAGTTTTCATTAATTTCCCAAGAGGAAAAACAATTCAGCATGCCGTGTGAAATGAGATGGGGAAGTCAGCATAACGGTGCCCCTAAACAGCATTTTGTGCTTTAGGATGAGAATATTTAACTGCTTTAAGGTGAAATACAGCCCTGGCTACAAAGCTGCAATATTTATCCACACCTTGAGAGCAACTCCTTTGTTCTCGGGTAGTGTGGAGGTCACAGGGTGGACTGCAATCTCCCCTAACTCTCCACAGCAGCTTTTATGAGGCAGAACTCCATACAACCATAGGAAGGAGAGGCATCTAGACTATGGAAATCCATTTTTAAAGATAGGGTTGTCGTAACCTTGAATCCACATTATTTTGCTACCCTGCCTTTGGTTATTGAACTGATAAGTTTTAAGTACCCTAAGTCTAACAAAAGGTATTTGTCTTCTCCAAGTTATATCAGTTCCTTGTTTTATGGTTTTGTTTTAGTGTGTATGAAATTGTGAATGAAGGCACAAAGCCGTTATCAAATAGCACACAACTTTAGGACATGAACTGGTTGGCATTTAACTTTTATTACCCCAAACATCATTGTAATTATTAATTTTTGTGATACGTGAGATGTGTTAACATCCATGTTTTAGTACTTGCTTGTAATCTGTCCTTCAAAAGTATGATTTCACAGGTCTATTGAACCATAAGCAACTATTCGTAGTAAACGGGACAGAACAATTATCTAAACACAGCTGAGAGTCAGGGGAAGGTGTGTCCACATCTGAACTTTTAATGCAAGGCACCGTACAGGAAGCTTTGTCCACTTAGTCAACAGGGGCATGTCTTGTGTTGTTGTTATTTCCATGTGAAGGTAAAAACTTCATTAGGGTGTGTTAGTGGGTGAGGAATGACTCAATCTTATTACTTCTTTCCTGTCCCTCCATTACCCTCTCTAATTGTCTAATTGCTGAGTCTAATTTGCTGTGAACTGGGAAATTACATAACCAGGCTTGTTAGAATTTTGTCTGAAATTTAATGGGTTTTAAATCCGTCCTTGTGGGAGAGGCTTTTATGAGTAAAGTATATGCCCTTTTGAAGTGTATTTTGGCTGCTCGCAGGTTTTATTTTTTGTTATTTTACTTTTTTACATTTTCCCTCATTTTCCATTGTCTGGATATATGGCTTTATTTTCCCAGGATGACTGCAGCAGTATCTCCTATCGCTCATGCTCTCCTATAAGATGACGCTGTCCCTGATCAAGAGGTAGAGTCTCATTTCCTGCCCTTGGGTTTGGACTGGCTTTAGTGACTGCTATAGAAACAATGCTGGCTGGCTCTCGGGGAGCACAGGCTCCCCGACATAGTCTCCCTTTTGGAACACAGCCACTGCACTGTGAGAAAGCCTAGTATGGCATGGCGGAGGCCACATGGACAGTCCTTTGATCCAGGAGCCAGATATCTAAGTAAAGAAGCTTCCAGATTATTTCAGACAGCAGCCCTTTGACTCATACTCAGAGACTCAAAGCTTCCCAGCTGTAGTCTCAGTTTTCATGAGCAAAGGCAAGTCATCCTTGCTCTATCCTAATTTCTGACCCGCAGAATGCAGGTACATAACACAATGGTGGCTATCATATGCCAGTAGGTTTGGCATTTGCAAACCATGAAAAAATAGAAAATTGGAACATTATATGTGATTACATTTGGTTATAAATAATTTAATATAGAATAAGACATACACATACTTCTTTCCTAATTTTTCCGTAAATGCTGATCACTTTCAGAAGAAAAGATGGTCACTGGTACTTCATTTCTAAACTACAAATTACTCAGAAGAGAGTGTATTTTTTCCACCTTTGTAACTTCAATTTCTAGGACACTTTCTGCACAAACAGGTATGTAGAAAGTTTAGTTAACCAAAACTGATATTTAGAAAAAGCTGACAAGTAGCAGCACTTATCCTAAGAGAAAATATCTATGATGCTTTATAAAGATGAATCATTCCTGGTACTCAAAAAGGAGATGCTACATGAATAATGATATTTCTTTAACTGCTTTTGAGTAGCAAAATGAGTATAAATTCATACATAGTATTAATGATGTTATACACACACCTACCCATGATAATTTATGATGGCAAATAATTGAAATGAAATCAAGCATGAGAATAGACTCACGTTAGTGCTTCAGAGTAATTATAATGAGGTGTAACTCCCAGAAACTTCTGGACTTCATCCATCACAGTAGCTGGGTCAGATCTCAGCTGCTGTCCATCAATAATTAGCAACTGCAAAGTCAAAAATAGTCACCTTATGAAGAACAAAACTAAATTGAATGGACTGAGCTGCCTCCCTTGGTATGGCATTAAATTAGGTCAGTCTGAACAGGAAGAAAACATGCACTATTTAGAACACAGTTGTTTATGATTCTTGTGTCCTTCCACATTAAAAATAATTAAAGTTTGCCGTGGGCAATTGTTTTATGTGTCTGTGTGAGTTATTAAGTTAAACCCCCTAACATCCTTCAGAAAAAAAAGTAGAGATGGACAGAAATCAGAAATAAAGATGGACAGGCCCTTGATTTTTCCATCTACAGGATGATTAGATAACTAGCCATGCTACCAAATCTCATGAGCTAATCTTGGAGACATGGGCTTAGAAATAATGGTCATTCAGATGATGACCCATCTGTTCTTTCAAACTATGACAGGGGATAGGGGATCATATCACTGCCTGACTTTACAACTTTGGTTCACTACCCTCGAATACCAGATTTGTCTGAGGGACGTTTAAAAGATAAATCTATGCTGAAGTCCACTTGTTGAGGCTTTAACTGGCCCCTGAGTGATAATGAACACTTACTTTTCCTGAAATCTTTTTTTATGATTCTATCCCACATTCCAGGAGCTGTTACAGCACTTCCCAACATGGCACACTGGTGTATGAGCTCTTTCCATCCTTAGCAAGGTGCCACAAGATAGACAACAAGTGGGACTCTGCACATTGAGTTCTAAAAACTATGTCTGAGGAACTGTTCTACTAGTTGTTTTGAACTGCTGCCTGAAAATCATGTGAGATCTCTTTCTGGAAAAGGTCTCACTTGGAGGCAAGCTACTATTAAAAGAAGATACCAAGAGTGTGTTTTAGAGCTATTTACCAAAACTTTAATGATAGTGAAATTTAACCAGGAATGGTGGTGCACACCTGTAATCCTAATGCTCTGGAATACTGAAGTAGAATGATTCCAAGTTTGAATCCAGCCTAAGCAAATGATTCCTAAGTTTGAACTCTGACTTAGTGAGATCCTGTCTCAAAATAAAAGCTAAAAAGGGCTGGGATATAATGGATAGGGAAGACTCTAGATTCAAACTCCAATACCAAAATAATTAGTGAAATTTAAAAATGTAAAAATTCGCATTTCTTCTTTCTTTATCATTATCTCTGATGATAAGTTGCTATCTGTGGAAATATTGATTTGCAGTTTGTATTTGTTAGTGCAACACAATTATGACATAGCAGACAGCAAATAATAATTTTCAGAGCATTACCTGAGAAGTAGCAAAGTAGGTTAACCACCTCTCAATGTGAACTGCATACCACCCCGGTACCAGGCATCTCCTCTGCAAAGTTTTTAAGTCGGATGGGGCCCAATGTCCTGTTGTAATAACTTCGTAGAAATTAAATCTCAAGGCAGCTGGATCTTCATGTGATCTCTGGTGCTGCAAACAAAAATGTCAAATATGAGGTTGTTCTTTTTTTTAATGTTTGTAGAGGTATGGGTCTACTTCACAAAATAATAAATAAAATTAATTGATTTTAAAAGATGATAAAGCAATTGGTAAAAACTGCCTGTGTTTAAAATGAGCACTGGAACATTGCTTTACATATTTTAAAGCATTCTGTACATATCAAGCGATAATGAAGATAAAATTGTGATTATATTTAGGTCTGGGATGTTTAGGTTTAAAGCGGAGATGGAGCGCAAGCACATTCTTCATGAGTCTTTTTAGTAGGGAAATAATGTCAAGGAGCAGAAAATGAAGCTGGATGAAAAGGGATTTAGCTGAGTAGGAATGGGTTTACATATTGCTTCTCTTATTGTTTCATTACAGCTTCTCCTACGGGGTTCTGACTCTTCCTCAATTTCTCTGTGTAGCAGGTGCTCCAGGTACGTGAGAGCAGATGCTTTCCCAGTGCTTGCTTATCTGTCATGTTCAACTGCTGCTGCCCAGGGCCCTTCACTCTCTACTACTGCAAAGTCCCAGGCATGGCTTCATTCCTAATTTCAGTACCAGCTCTTCTGAGTCTTTCATGCCAAACCGTCATAGGTCAAGCAGGAGAGAGCCCAACGCAATGAGAGATGAACTCAACATCAATGAAATACCACAGCCATTTATTAGGCATCTCTCTAGAACAAAGAGCAGAAATTGATTTTAGAGATAAAAAGGTGTAAGTGAGACACACTCATTTTCTTCAAGGAAATCAAATCTAGTGTGAAAGAGGCCAAAGTAATAGATTGTAAGAAATTCCTATGTCTGAGTGAGGTGTAAGTTTTCGATTTATGGCCAATGAGAGATTAGTTCTGATGGACACACAAGAGGACCTTTTTCAATGGGCAAAGTTATTGAGCTAAAATTTAATGAGAAAGATTTTGATAATTAGAAAAAGAGTAAACGCAAATGAAACCTAAGAAAACCATATTATACTAGGTAAATCTGAGGGAGGATGGATGACGTGTGTGTGGATAAATAAATGGCACTGTGTGATATCTAAAAGAGAAAATGAAGACATTTTGGTGAAGAATGGGGATGGAAATATAGCAGGCTCTGACCTTGTTGTATAATAAGAGGGTGGGTATGCTAATTAGAAGCAATGTAGAGAAAAATAACGATGATGAGTCAAGCAGTGGTTAATGGTTAAAGAGTAACTAGTAATGGCAGATTGATTGGAATAATAAAAAGTCTTATTATTGTACATTTACTGACTTTGCTGAATATATACAGATTATATAATCTGCTGAATGATGCTGAATATATACAAATAATAATTCACTTAATAAAATATATAGAAATTACATAATTTAAATAAGAATTATAAACATACTATGTACATACAGTATAAATAATGCAAAATTTTTTATTATAAGCAGTGAAAATATGGAACTGTAGTTAATCTGTTCTATAGTGACTTGTACCAGTTTAGCACCAACTTTTCTTTATTTTCCTGAACCTAAGAAGATTAACGTAAAAATATGACCAGGAAGTCACAAAGGGACATGTTTTATAGGAAAAAACAGCACTTTAGTTCCTCTGCGAGGCCCATTATAAAAATGTGGGGTAGAAATTACAGTGGCAGGTGACATTTGTAGGAGTTTCTGAATTACACCTGCTGAATTTTGGATTTATGGTATTTACTGAATAGACAGTTCTGGCTAAATAATAGGCTACATTATTTTGAAATGTGGAGCACTTTGGGGCCCTATTCTCAGCAATATGGCAATAAAAAGTACTACCAGAAAAAAATAATTCCTTTCAAACCTGTATTTTCAAAGAATTCATTTGAAAAATCAGGCACAGAGAAGCACTCACATTATATAGATTCTATTTTATTTAAGTGATTTAATCTAGGTGAAAATCAGATTCATTTAAACCCACACTAGTGACAATGTCTTCTGCTAGGAAAAACTTCACCATTATCCCAAATATTTAAATCTAAAGCTCATAATTAAGGTTTACCATCTTTGTGCTTTTGGCATTTATAAAAAATAAATTTTTCTTGCTTTGCAATATGGGTTTTTATAAAGTAGGAAAGACACACTTTCTGTATCTTATGGGAAAAACTGATTCACGCATTCTGTTCCAAGTGTTGGGTTTGTGCACTCATGCAATGCGAGTGTTTCCCTGGAATCCCCAACCACTTTTAAACCCAATTTGCAATGTCATATTTTTCTCTATCAGCAATGCATATTTATTTAAGAAATTTTGAAATGTAAGAAAAAGGAGATCGATTTTTAAAATTGTTATTTTATATCCCTAAAACTTCCCTTTTAGTCATTTTTACTCTGCCATTGATTTCCATACGCATTAAGCAACACATACACAAAGTGCACTTACATGTTTGGGATTTTTGTGTGTATGTATATATATATATACACATATATTATTAGCATAATCCAAGGTCACCAATTTTAGTTAAGCTATCCCTGCTTTGTGTGTGTGTGTGTGTGTGTGTGTGTGTGTGTTTCAGACATGGTTTCATTAAGCAACACATACACAAAGTGCACTTACATGTTTGGGATTTTTGTGTGTATGTATATATATACACATATATTATTAGCATAATCCAAGGTCACCAATTTTAGTTAAGCTATCACTGCTTTGTGTGTGTGTGTGTATGTGTGTGTGTGTGTGTTTCAGACATGGTTTCACTATGCAGTTCAGGCTGGCATTGAACTCATTTTGTAGTCCAGACTAGTCTCACACTTGCAGCCATCCTCCTGCCTCAGCCTCCCGAATGCTGGCATATAAGCATATGCCACCAAGGCTTTCACTGTTATAGGCAAGTTCGTGTTCCTTGGTTCAGCTTCATCTCACTCATTCTAATGATTTCAACCACCTCCCCTTTTCTCTTTGCAGAATGCTACTTCCCTGGACAATTATCCTCCTTTTCATCAGGTTAACTCATTGTAGACATCTCCCAGTACGGACCATCAGAGTCATTCAATTTCTCTATGTCAGGCCTTTAAATTTACCTTATTACATCCATCCTGTCTTCTGTTCCTCAAATTTCAACTGAAGACTTCTTAGACAACTGGATCTGGTGTAATCTATGAGTTTGTGTCAACAAAAGATGGCCTCTTTATTTTCAGTAACCTCTAAATGGAATTCAGCTTTTTCTTTAATTGTGAATATGGACGATCAAAACAATACTTCTTGCAGCTGTGATTCTGCTGCCATTAGAAATCTGCTGTTTTTATATCACATCATGGGTGTTTCAGATTTATGAAGATGAGAAAATTCTAATAGTATAAGATGAGTCTTTACAACTTGTCATTTAATGTAAGAATATTTGTAGTTTAAAAAGTATTCTGATAATCTCATTTTACTAAGTTTTCTTCTTCTCAATTGTATGTATTTAATTTTAACTGTCATGATATATTCTGTTTATTAACTACTTACTGTCACCATCCTTTCCTGGAGCTTCACAGGGTTGATTCCTCCTTTTTGCTCCTCAGCTTTTACTTTTTATTTTCTTGGGAAACACTCCATCTTAACCTGAATAATCACCGCCGCTCAACAAGCTCACTTTTAACTCCTGTGTGGTAAGCCTATGTCATGTTTCAGAATCATACTTCTGGGGTTTTCAGCAAAGGTTGCAACTACTCCTTTCTTCCTCTTACTTGATCCTCAACTAAATCCACCTGGCTCTGTTGCTGAGGGCTTCACTTCCTTCTCCATCTTCCAGCCTAATGAAAATAACCCAGTCTGGTTTTGCTTGACTGCCTGACTTTTAGGGATCTCTTTGGCACTGTCACGACCTCCACTTAGCCTCCCCTTGGATTCAGTATCAATGGAGCCCAGGTTTCTTCTCTGTATAAGGACTGTGCACTAACCTTGCGCCGCTAGAGCATTTCTTCTACTTTGGCTGTATTTGTTTCTCTCTTGCTACCTCATCCTGCTCTGCACTTTTAATCTCTAACCTCTCTCCTTAGGTGATTTCCCAGTATATGTGACCATGGCTTAATGTCTCTGATTCACAAATTTCTGTTTCCAGCTCAGACGTCATTCCAGAGTCCAGCAAACTCTGCTGTTCATTCCCAGTACTGGAGGGATCTATGTATCATGACTGTTATTTCTGAAGCCTGCCACTTCTCAGCACACCAGAGACCTCCTGGGTCCTTCTTCAGTGCTTCTTGTTGCATGGGAACATGTGGCCATGTTACAGTTGCCTAGGTTTGAAGGAAACTTGGCTATTATTGATACTTCCTCACCAAGTTCTGTTGTTTCCTATCCCTAAACTCTCACTAATACCTTTTACTTCCTTCAGCTTCTACTTGAGGCAGGGCATGGTGGTGCATGCCTCTACTGGGCAACTTCCCCAAAGTGTCTAAGACCTCTTATTACAGTGATCCATGCATACCCATGTCTCCCCCAGCACAACTCCTAATAGCTAAATCCTGGAAGCCTGTATCATTCAGCAGATAAATGGATAAAGAAAATGTGTTATTTATACACGACAGCTCTACTCTGCTACAAAGAAGGATAAATTTGAGTCATTTGTAGGTGAATGGATGTACCTTCAGTCCATTATGTCAAGTGAAATAAATCAGCCACACAAGTTTGAATATGGTAGAGTTTCTCTTACATGAGAAACTTAAAGCATAAACGAATTAAAGAGCAAAAAAAAAGATAATAGAAAATAGATTTTGCTCTTAGAAAATAGAATTTCCCTTTTGCAAAAGGGAAATTAACAAATAGAGGGTGGGCGAGGGGACAGTGGAATGTAAAAAGAAATTAAGAATTAAGTATAAAGAATTAAATTGTTGTATGTACAGGTACCAACTACCTACAGGGGATGTATTCATTATGTACTGCAAACGTGAACCACAAAGAACCTGGCCGCCACGCGGTGGCCCCCCGTGCCTCGGCCGCATTGCCTTCCCTCCCCATCCTCCCTCTGCCCTCACACATTAATACCGCTCATCCTTCAGCTGAAAGCCTCTGTTTTATCTTTCAAGAGGATGTTCTTAATAGCACCTTAAATATTTCTTCATAGCACATGCACAAATATCTGTCTTTATGATTTATATCTATCAATGGATTAGAATAAGCACACTGCTCTAATTTGCACTTTATTGATTAAAACCACAATTAAATGTAGCTGCACAGTATTCCATTTCAGCCCTGCACAAGTCTAAATTACTGATCACTTAAACGTCTTTTTGTTGTTATTTTTCATAGCTAGTGCTGGAACATGCATAAGTATTTGTGCTTTCCTTTGAAATTTTCCATATGATCAACTCCAAAAATGGAACCACAGTTAATGGAATCTTACATACTTCTTGCTACTATTATCATCAGCTTTCTGAAAATATTCCAAAATGTAACCTTTTATTGGAATGCATAAGAACCTTTACCCACATATTCTGGCCAGTAGAGAAACATCATAAATTTTGCCAGGATATTAATACCAATTTATATTTTGTAAATGCTTAATTGGTGTGATCGTCTTTCACATAAATGTTGAACTGTTGCTTTTTGTGTGTATGGTTTTCTATTTGTGCTTTTCATTAATTTTTCCCATTTATTGGCTGAGATTTGAGTTCTTTTTTTAACCAATTTTAAGGAACACTTTATAAACTACGAGCATTAAGCCGTTTACTCTGTGTTTATTATAGATACCCTCTTTAGATATTGACTTTTAATTTTATTAAATTTTTATGCCAATATTTTATAATTGCTGATACAACCTATTAATTCTTTGATATATGTTTTTTTTTTGTTTTATGGTTGGAAGTCCTTGTCCAATATGATATGAGTTAAATATTCAGTTTTTTATATGTATGTTTTGATTTAGTTTACATATTTTTACACTTGATGCTTTAGTGTGTCTGAGTTTAATTTTGGTGATTTACTGTCACCTACATTCAAGCTACCACTTAATGCTTGTAGCAGTATTTTACTTTCTCATACCTGGTACCACGAATATGCTCTGTCTGAAGGGTCAATGAGGATGGTGATGATCTTGGCTTTGGGGACAAGAGATGCAGCTCGCTTGGGGGCATCTTCTGAATGGAAGTAATTAGCACTCTTCTCGAATAGAAAGTCATTTGTAATGTTGGATGGAGTAGGAAAAAAGTCCATATACCTGGAAGCAGAGCAATAATTTTGCTCACCATTTTCTGAATAAGAAGTACTTTAAATATTTTTACATTCATTTGTACCAGTTTGTAATTATTCATTTATATCAGTTTGTAATTATTCCGCTATAAGCAGTTAAGTAGTGGATATTCCATACACTTTAAATATGGTAACAACCCCAAATATTATTGCTCTAATAACTCATCTTGGCAGTGAAAGGAGTGAGATGGAATAAGTGCTCTGATAAGGAACTAACAAAGTACTGGAGATTTGAACTGATATTCTGTGCTACTGAAAGCCAAGTCCAGAAATACTGTTTACTTCTGGCAAACAAAAATTACATCATTTTGCTTAACTGATTATTTTTAAAAAGAAGTGTGCTTGCAAATTTGGATGCAGAAATCCTTAAGGTGAGATTAAATTTCACAAGACAGAAAGACATGTAAGTCAAAACAGCTATAAAATACTAAACAGATTAAGGAATAGCTGTTCTCCTTTTTGACTTCTGCATAATTTGTGGTGCATGTGGCAATGCGAGCACATTATAGTCTATCTAGAGTAATTAAGTGGATATTTCCTGCCAGTTGAGCCTGTGGTGCCTCGGTAGGTTCACTCCTCCATATGCTGTCGGAACGTTCCTCTGCGTGCAGATTATGGAATCAATATGTTTGGAGGTTAATTCAGTACAAGGCTTTAATTATGTGTGTAACCCTCCTTACAGCTCATCACTTCTCTAACCCTCAAATGTTCTAGAAAGAAATAATGAGAGCAATTAAGAATTCATATAAGACTCTTATTTTCCTCTTTGACATTTGTTATTATGTTTCCCAAATGTAGAGTGCTGAAGAATCTCATCTATATTCCTGCCTAACAATCTGTGTTCCATTTGAGCTCACAGATAAAATTGTCGTTCTGTCTCTAATAGCTTGTGCGCAATTCCAAAACTTCTTTAGCCTTTGGAGAGTACAGTAGGGTAGTAGCACTCTAGATGTGGAGTGGATACATCTCTACTTATGACAGGGGGCCAGATCTGCTCAGTGGATTACCCTTACCTGACCCTTCCGCTAACTGCATCTTAAAGAATGGATCTTTTGTGGAAACAGGTGTACGTGATGATGACACACAGTTACACAGTTACCACACATGTGTATATCAAGGAACTTTTCCTTATATGAGATTTGTTTTGTATAAATGGGAACTTGAAATTAAAATCAGAATCATATTTTCTTGAGAATACTGGGAGAGAACTAGAAAAAATTCACCAGATTAAAGATCATGTGCTATATAAAATATATTCACTTTTGGCTTATAGAAAATATTGTGACTTTTCATAATTTATCAAGTGCTAATTAATATTCCTTCCATGTGTGCATGTGACCAGAATTGCTATTATTTGCATGACAAACATCAGCCTACATTGTAGCACAATGCACTGTTTATGTGGTTAATGAAGATACATGTTGCACTGTGTAAAATAAGCAGTGAACTGATTTATTTGTTTCTTCAAACATCATTGTGAAGACAAATTATGTGTTTGGTAAAAAAATTAGGCATTGCAAAATAATAGTGTGTTTAAGAAGAATTTTTAATATTCTTATGAATAATTTTGATGAAAAATATTCCATAACGTTCTTCATTCAATCATATTAACTTACCAGAAAAATATTATCATTATTGCACTATCCAAATCAAATTATAGGCAACACTGATTAAACATATCATCATTATAAATTAATTTCTAATTCACTGTGGTAGAGTTGAGCATAACAAATTTATCCTGTAATTATGCAGTTGCCACGCATACGTCTATAATTGCTGAGCAGTGGTAGAGCACACGTTAATAATGAAATCTATTTTTTGTTATTTTTCTTACCAGTCAATTCCTTTGTGATAGTTGTTGCCATTAAAGAATTGAACTTCTTCAAATGTTTTGGGGCTGGGAAAATTGCTGATGATGGAAGGGTGCATAAGAAGAAATAAGTAAAGTGCAGTTGTTCCTATCACACAAAAAGAAGATAAAGGTTATATGATAATAAAAGAAAAGACAACATGTCTCATTTTTGCTCAAAAAGACAAACTTTTCAGTGTCAAAACATTTTCCTTAGCATCCATTAGGTACATTACATGTAATAACAATCCAGTTGTTCTTGTATTTGTGTCTGTGTTACTATTTTTTATGGAAGAATCAGATTTAATATTAGTACGTAGCTGAAGTATAGCAGATCTAGCTAGGGTGAAACTCCACAGCAATATGATTCAGTTTCCCTTCTGGAGTCATGTGAGGGAGTAAGGCTTTAAAGTCATGGCGGTGTCTATATTTTTACTTCTAGTATTAAGCATGGTGTCCAAATTCGTGAGTTCTCAGCTATCATTTAAATTCAGATTATGTAAATGAAGCTGTTCAACAGATGTTGACATATCACCCTTTGGATAGCTCTGGAGTAATGATTGGTGATAACTATTGATTAAAAATACATGTGTTGCCCTCAATAAACAGAAAGTCCCACGTGGGTTGGGTCAAGAGCAGAGCTAATAAAAAGTTTGAATACAGGCTTGAGTAGCTGAAGGAAAGAAAGTAACAATGGATGGGGACATATGAAAACAACTAGAATGGGGAGCTCCCAGTTTAACAATGTGGTAAAATCTAATAAATGCCCTTCATGGAAGAATTATTATGAAAAAAAGATATTTTTAAGGAAATGACAATTATAAAATCAAATCTCACAAACTCAAGTTTTGAAAAAGAGAAGAGAGAAGTGCTTAAGAACTGAATTAGAACAGTCAAAAAATCATTGCAACTATGCTGAAAAACACAGGTGTAAAAGTTAGGAAGAATGAATAGAATCTTGAAGAGCTGATCTGATTTGCTCTTGAAAATAATGAGTCCAAAATGGAAAAAAGTGTGAGTAAGGAACAAACATTTTCAGAGAGAGGAAATGAATTAAGGACAGAGCAGTAGCCATAAGGGAAAGTGCAATCCAGAGGGATCTTTTAAATAACTTTTATTTAATTTGAGGGTTCCATAACAGTATTTAAATTATAATAATAATAGGCAGATTGGAAGAGGGGGTTGGGACTATCAGGGTGTTGAGAAAATTGATAGTTTAATATTCTTAAGGTATTGGATACAAGTGAATCCAGGGCACAGATAAAGGAATATTTTAGAATTATTACTGAATGTCTATTAACAGGTATTTTATAAGCTCATTCAGGAGTATGAAGAAGTGTTTAATCACACCAGGGGTTATGGAATTGTTCCCGGTTCTCCTCTGGGCTGCAGAGAGGCAGCGCTTTTCTGTTCTGACCCTTACAGCTCCATGCTGCTGGGAGCTGGGGGCATCAAGGGTCCTCCAGCAGGAAAACGAGACTGGTGACACGGGGCTTCCTAGTCACCTCATCAGCAGGAAAGTCAGGACCCACTACTTCAAAATGTGTGTAGTTTATTATCACCTATGTTTTCATCAAGCTTGTCGTTCATTTTTATCCAATTTCTCTTCCATGTAAATATCTTGTGAAGGAAGAGAAAAAGACTTCAGCCTTTGTCCTAGTTTTCCCTCCTCAGCCTTACTGTACAATGAACTTGCTTTAGTTTTGATGTACCAGAGCAAGCCAGCCAATCAGAAGATAATACTGACAATGGAAACACTGAATTTGTGGAAATTTTAAGGCCAATGAATAATGCTTTGGGAACGATTGTGGTAAATTTAACCCTCTTAGAAACCCTCTTGTGCCTTAGTAATAGTGAAATTTGACTCTGAATGCTGAAGGATGCAGAGCTGTTGGAAAGAGCCCAGGAAGACTGTGGTTCGAACTCTGCTCTAAGTGCAGGGCAGTGGTCATGCCTGCGCACTTCTGTCCTCTTTGTTCTTGTCCCCAATTCACTGCCACTAACAAGAATCCCTCTAAAATTCAGCAGTGTTCTCCTCTTCTCATCTCGCAGCAACCGAGAGAAGCAGAGTTTGAGGAGCCGTATGCATGTCGTGTTTGCTAGAAAGGGTGCCTGTACAATGTTGTTGAAAGGCAACTATATTTAATGCCAGATTTTAGCATTTATCTGTGACACCCTCCAGGGAATTTACGGTGGCTGGCAGTAGCAGAAGCTTTGCCAACTATAGCAATATGAGAAAGAGAATATAACTTCAGACATCTATGACTGGATTTAAAAATTATTACAACCATTTCAGATTAGAATATTTCCGTGGCACATAAAATATTATCATCCAATTTCTTTGTTTTAACTTACTTTCTTGTTTGTCTTGGGAAAGCCAAAACCAGCTAAGAACTTTATCACTGCCATTCTGGTAGGGCAAATATTAAAATCTCAAGGTATAACTTATTGTCTTTATAAGTACAAACAACAAGGAGGGAAAACAGATTCATAGTTACGAATGCATAATTTTCTAGCAGAACTAAGAAATAATAATGTTCAATGACAAATGATAGACGATATGTCTTTAAATTTTTCACATAATTTTACAACACAGAAATTTTTTTTTCTAGCATTCATCCTAGAGTTCGCACTCCTTAAAGGGAGTAGGTAGAAAATTAATGCTCATTTTAAATAACAACAGAAAAGGGGAATAGCTGAAAATATGTGTTGCTTTTGTTCCCTCCCTGCACATGTTAGCTTGCTATTGTAATACAATTTATATTCCTTCTAGAAGAAAGGATCTCAACACCAATATCTAATAGTCTGAAACTTTAGCCCCCAACCTTGCTGCATCACAGATATCTGCAGGGGGCAAGCTTATTTACTGTGACTGTTTGTGTTATGGTTTGGGCACTCTCTGATGAAGACTGCTGGTCAAAGTAGTGAATTCAAGATACAGCAACTCAATAAAAACTTTAATTAATCAGGACATGAGCAAAGTGTATAAAACCGTCACATACCAAAGAGAGTATAAAATATTCTAATTGAAAGTGTCATCGCATTGGTGAAATACTCTCTCTCCTTTGCTCCATTCTTACACAGTTGTCCTTCAGTGCGTGAGAAAATACCAAGGAAAAGTTGTCTGGTGAACTTTAGGTGTATCAATAAAATAAGCCTAAACCATAGTCATACTCAGTGAATATTGTTTTGGAAACACACACACACACACACACACACACACACACACACACACACACGGAAATGTGTGAAAGTAACTGTGGCAATGTCTCTGAACAAAAATCAATTCAAGGTTGATGTGCATTTAAATCTGTCCAAATCACTTTTCTATAGTTAATTTGAGTTAATTAGGAAAAAATAGCAAAAGCAAAAATTGAAAATCAACGCTCACGATTGTGAGAAACACAAGATTTTTCAAAATCTGACGTGCTATTGTTTAGATTTAACATCTTCCCCCAAAGGCTCTGTGTGTGGAAGGAGTTGATCGCGGCACGCTGCTCTTGTCAGTGAATGCACCTGTGGATGAGTTTGGTAGCCAGACGTGCTGTTGGGAGTTGGGCCCCAGCTGGAGGGGGTTATCGGGGTGTGGCCTAGAACGGTGTATTCTTGTCCCTGGCTCCTCCCGTCATTGTCTGCTTCCTGGCTGCCAAGGGTGGAGCATGTTTTCTTCTGCCATGACGCTGCCATCCTGTTTTTCCCTTGGAGCCAGGTGACCATGGACTGAAACCATGAATGTAAATAAACCTCTTCCAAGTTACAGGTGTCCAGCATTGTGTCACAGGGAAGGAGAGTGAATGTGTATGTTGAAGGTGTATCTTGAACAGGTGAAAATCTATTGTTAAAGCATAATCAATTGTTAAGTCTAATCAATGGCAACACTAGAGTCCTTAAGGTCTGTGGCATCAAGATTCTTAGTGGGGAAGAGAACCCGCTTAACAATGAAATTGGACAAATGGGTAAGAATTTCGTGACATAAAACCTAATTCACTAACTCTGTGCAAAAATGCTCTGCATAATAATAGCAATAACAATAAAACAAGTAGCATAGTTCACTATCCTTACCTGTTTTTTGTGGCCCAATTACCAGGAATTTTGGTAAGTGGTCACAGGTTTTTTCCCTGGACCAGATGTCTTTGTGCCGTTTATCATCACATGGATTCTACAATACAAGAAGGAAGAATAACAACTCTCACTGTGTGTTGAATGCTTCTCTCTATTCCCTAACAACTGTTCAAAATACGGAAACAAATTCTTGGTTGATCTCCTGAAGCTAGAAGTTAGGTGCTGCTCTGGTTCTCTGCTTGCTAAATCCTTTCTTTATGAAGTGATAGGCACCTTTCCTTACTTCCCGGCTGCCGCTCAGTGTGGGATCAATCCACCTGTCACTTCTGTCAGGTGCGCTCCTAAACCCTGAGTTACCGCTCTTTGTGGGTTTAGGTTTTACATCTGCAGGTCAGAGGTTTTAATTTAGCATTGTCTGACCACCGTTTCACAGATTATTTTCAATTCTAATGCTTTTTACATTGAAATGTCTAAATATTAGAGACCAAATATTTTGTTACTTTTCATGCAATATGAGTTTCTCTGAGGAATGTTACTTAAGATAATACTTGACAAATGAGTTGTTTATAATTCTGATTCTTTTGACCATTTTGCCAAATATGGGTGCTGCAAAATCAGACTTCTCAATATTCCATTGCAGCACAGAATGTAAATCTAAGCAATTAAAAATAGGAGAGCTATCAAGAAAGCTTTATCATACTCAAAATTCTAATACTGAATTAAAGAAAGCAAAAAGTAAAATTTCTATTTCACTTAGTTTTGGTTTTGTGGTTTTCTTTGTTTTGTTTTTTTCCAGTACCGGGAATTGAACTTATGATGTTGCATTTGCCAGGCAGGTGTTGTGCCGCTGAGCTAAATCCCCAGCCCTCTATTTCATTTAAACTCTTATTATATAATTTGTTTAATCTCTTTTTTTACTCCATTAAAATTTTATTTTACAAAGAAGAGATAAAAGGCACTAAAAAAAAAGAAACCATTATTAAAATATTTTTCTCAAAATGCTTTTTTTTGTACAGGGAATTGAACTCAGGACCTTGTGCTTGGCAGGCAGGCGCTCGTGCTGCTGAGCTATATCCCCAGCCCCTTCAAAATATTATTGCTATCACATTATTGCTATTTGAGAAGTCCTACTATGTTGTACAACTTGGTATCAAACCCCAGAACTCAAGTAATCCCCTTGCCTCAGCCTCATGAGCAGCAAGGACTGCAGGCATGCTGCACTACACTTACAATACTATCTTAACAATTTTTAAAATATGCTGAAGAAAAATTATTTTCTCCAAATAACATTTAAATTTTTAAAAACTAATGTTTTAATGCTTTAAAGCTAAGTTTCACAGTGTCATTTTACAGGCTAAACAGAATTGGATCATCTTGACACTGTGCAGCATCGAATGCTGGCCCCTTACGTTGATGGCACAACGTTCACAGGACCTGACAATAACAAAGGGTAAGCGCCGTGTCTGCCTCGATATGACACATGCAGTTCAGAAGACGGAGGACAAGCATGTGAGATGTCAGGAGTCCGCTACCCTTAAAGTTTTAGAAGAGCATTCTTCTGTAGCATGCTGAGGCCTCTTGTCCGTACCAGGATGCGAGTGAGTAGAGCAATTCTTACTGCTAGGAAGGAAACGCAGTGGCTGTTTGGGCCTCGGGAGTGGAAGTGGCATGTTATTGTAACAGTGAATAATGCTCTGAGAGATTTACGGAATGGCACAGAAAGCTTTGAATGGCGCCCAGAGTGGAGCAGAGGGTTAGGTAAAGCTACTCTCACACTTAGGTCATAGGTCCTGGCTGACGTGGGACATTATGGCATCTTTACTAAGTAGGGATTCTGGTAACCACTGGAGAAAAACTCCATGTATATTCCTAAGGTTCTGCAGCCAAATATGTCATCTGAAGCAGATAATTCAAACAGCTTTAGGTATGCAGCTGGGCTCTGGAAGAGTGTGTTTGTGATAATGTGATCATAACTGCCCATCATGAATTGGTACTGACAAACCCATCAAATCACAAGCTCAGACGTATCTAGCAACAATTAACTGTAAGAGCAGCGGAGCAGCTGGTATCCTGGGATTGGTCTCGGGCTGATCTTTGCTTATAAGTGGCCTAGGTTCCCATATCTCCTGACACTTTCTCTCTATTCTCTCTCCATCAGTTATTTCTATAGTTTCATGAAAGGTTCCCTATAGACTATTGATAAATAGGGAAAAATCCAAGCTTGGTTTGTTGGTAAAATTCTAGACCCTGCTACACTATATTTGGAGGTGAATCGTAGTTCTAAAGCAGTGGTTAATGGAAACTTTCTAACTGGTAAAATTTTGGGCAGTGTACCTGGTCTTTTTTTTTTTTGGAGACAAGGTCTTATTATGTAGTCTAGGTTGACCTTGAAATTCCTGTGCAGCCCAGGCTGGCCCCAAATACATGATCTTCCTGCCTTAGTCTCCCACTATGACTACTACTGGCAGTCTAGTAGCCAAATGTAAGTGGTGACAACCACAGGGTAGATTGGTCAGGCAACTTGGATAAACAAGGTAAGATTAGTGCTACCAAGCTATAAGGAAAAGACATGTGGATGGAGTTAGTAGTCGCAGAAAGTGTGTTCTTTGTACTACCCATGAGGGTACACTAGTGGTAGACAAACAGAGGAGAGTTACTAAACAACCAAGTGCATAGTGTGAGGCAACTAGTTCCAGACACCACCAGGGGTTAATGTCCTTCCTCACTCATACAGTGCTGAAATGAAAAGCTTATTAGTGAAGTAGCCATGGTCACAGTATGGAAACTATGCATGGACCTCCTCCCCCTACTCTGCTCTACTTACCACTGTGGCTGGATGGCTGCCCTCACAGAAACAGAGATCTTTTCCAAGTCCCAGAAATAGTATTACCCTGTCGCTTAGTGCAAAATTTATTACACTGGCCACTTTCATCCTGAAACGTGCAATGATTCATCCAGATAAGGCTTGACACATATTGAAAGTATTAGTTCTCATTCTCTGCCCACACAGTCTGGGCCATCACAGAGTCATGGGCTCTCAGGGTATCTGACTCACTGACAAGTTATCCCGCATCATGTTGGTGTGAGAACTGCTTTCTGGTAAAGGAAGTGTAGAAGTGAGCATTTGGTGGTGCAAGTCACTGGCTATATCAACATAGTGCACTATCTGGAGGCTCCCGTGTTAGAAAGATTTCTTCAATGTAGAATCGACGCTCCAGCCTGGATATCTAGGTACTTCTTAAATTAAAAGCTATGATTTGATGCTTTTTCTCCAAAGGACAGGGTAGTTAGGTCTAGGAATGAAGACGTTTCTGCGAGAGCAGACCTGCTCCCATCATTCTCAGTGACTCACTTGGAGAATTTGTGCTTTTTCTTCTCATGACTTTAAGATCCATGTGTCTAGGGCTCCTAGTTCCTGAGGAGGGGCTCTTCTGATGGGCACACGATAAGAGGACCACTGAACTGAAAGCTGTAGCCGCTGCCTGGGCACTTTGGACTCTGTACAAATAGAGCAGCAGACATGGAAAGAGGTCACCCCCCTTGCAGGGCTAGCTGAGCTGGACTTTCAGGAGGAAGTAAGACACACAGGAAGAACAGGAAGAACTATGTTTAGCCTGACTAGGTTACTTGGCAGCTCTGTATTCAGTTCAACTGTAAAGGAGAAAGAACAGCAGCTATTATCTCATAAGTGCTGAGCAGGAACAGCGCAGAGTCTACCACACTGTGCTCCCTGCTTGGCAAATTAGGTTCTCTCTGTTCAGGAGCAGGCGTTTCCATCATAATTCCTGGAGAAATTTACAGGAAGAGCATCAAAGGCACAAACTACAACTACTGCCACTACATTTGATCCTCAAACGGTACTTGACTCACCGGGGAAACCTTCTAGACCAGCAGAAGCATTAGCCAAGGGTGGGGGGAATCCAGAGTCTCGGACAGAGGAAGTAAGCAGTGGCTTTGGCTTTGGGACCAAATGCACCAATAACGATATGGTTTCTGACAGTAACTCTCTTGAATGTTTTCTCAGGAACTGTGCTGAAAAATTTCAGAATCCTGAAAAATTGGGTTCCATGGAGTGAAAATTATAAAAAACAATCGAAGAGGAGATTGTGGCAATGTGCCTTTTTCTCCTGAAAAGATCCTCTTTTCTGGCTAATGCAATTTCTCTACCCCTGTATCCCACTCCCAACCTCTCCAGTGCTAACGGCCTGCAGTGGGGCAGACTGAGCATTGCCCGTGGCTCACTGAGAGGAACCACATGAAAGGCAAATTACACTCTGCATCCCTTTCCCGCTCTCAAGGGCTGGCCGTTGCCAATGACTACCACACACGAGGTCTACGAGAGACCTGCGTGCCTCAAGGTGAAGCGAGTGTCACTGTGACTAGGCCCTCCCTGAAGATCACGTCAACGCTAAACTCTGTTCTGGCCACAGCCGTGCTCAGCGCTTTCACGTTCTCTCTTCTGTTCCTCATTTTCCCTCATGGGTTTCTCCTGAAGCATTTCCTTAACATATCATTTATGACTGGGTCCTTGTCTCAGAGCCTGCTTCTAGGTGACACTAGCTATGGCAGTGACCATTTGCACTCTGTGAAATTAAAAGAAGTACTTGATCTAAATGCATCTTCTGTCTTTATCTCCCACTGGAACAATCACGAAGTACAATAGAAAAAAGACGAGCAAAGTATGAAGACAGCTGCATCATGCAAGAATGTACTTTGAAAAAGATTAGGTTATATGTCTTAGATATTTTTAATGGAATTCACCTATAGAAAATTCAACGGAAGTTTTTAACTATGAACCAGTAAACTCAAGTTCCTTTTTTATTTTATGTAGCAGATTTTATTTAGTCATATCTGGTGTCTACATTTTCTACATTTCTATGTAGTATTCAGTGTTACATCTCCAAAGTCCAGCTTCAGCTTTGTTACCTTACTGTGGCAGAAAAGGTTAGCCTAGTCTCATTTTCTTTGGGGCAATGGAAAATCTTCTGTGTTGCTTAGCACACAGGTTGCCAGCTAGAGATTACATTTCACAGTCCTTGGGGAATCTTACTTTCTTCGTGCACATGATATCTGTGCCATGGAAATTGAGCCAAAATG